TTCGACAAGGACGGTGAAGCGATCGACGGTAAGCACGAGCGAAATCTGTCTCGTCCTTCACGAGCCTAAATCATTCGTTCAGGCCTCTTTGACCTTGGATTCAGCTGGGTGGAAATTGGAAGCGTGACGCCGAAGCCGCAGGTGCATACAATGCCCCGAAGTATGGTGCACGAACCTTACTCACTCTTTCTGATTCTATAGCCTGGAAATCCTCGTCCACGCGTGTTTCACCTCCCAGAAGACGATTCACTCATCAATAGATACGGCTTCCCTTCTCAAGGACATGCAGCAGTAGTCACGCGACTGAGGGCTCGTTCTGTCGACGAAGAGCCTGTCAGCGAAGCCGCGCCCGCATCATTACGACCTGGCTCCCTACTTTCCGTCAACCTCGGCAAAAACAAGGAATCACCACTCGAATCCGTCGACGATTTCGTGAGGGGCGTTCAGGTTTTTGGACCTCATGCGGACGTTTTGGTAATCAACGTGTCCAGTCCCAACACTCCCGGATTACGGTGAGTCGAAGAGAAGCTGGTGATCGTGATTATTCCTGACTGTTTGTGAAGCAACCTTCAGAAGCGAAGTCATTTGGGTGATCTTCTTGCGGGTGTCGTTCAAGCGCGCAACGACCTGCAGGCGAGTTCATCGCGTAAACCGAAACTTATGCTCAAGCTCTCGCCTGATTTAACGGCGGACGACGTGAGGGAGATCGCGGAGGTCGTCCGCTCCAGTGGTGTGGATGGCGTTATTGTTAGCAATACCACAATCAGCAGGCCGCGGGGCCTTACCCACCGTTCGTCTCCCTTAACGCTGTCACTACGTTCTGTCACTGATGACGACCTCCTTGTCTCCAGCCAATAAGACCGAAGCCGGCGGACTGTCGGGACCGCCTCTCAAACATCTGTCGCTGGCCGTCCTACGCACCCTCCGCTCGAATCTTCCCGAGTCCATACCCATCATCGGCTGCGGCGGCATCACCTCAGGGGCAGACGCGCTGGATTACGCCAGAGCCGGAGCGAGCATGGTGCAGATCTACACGCACTTTGGATACGACGGCGTCGGCGCGTGTCGAAGGATCAAAGACGAGCTTTCTGATATCTTGCGAAGGGAAGGAACCACCTGGAAGGAGGTCGTTAGCAGAGCAACTTCCGAGGCGAGCCTGAAAGCGGATACAAACGAGGCGAAGGAGCAGAGTATGCAGCAGTTGATAGAGGAGGCCGAAGATCTGCGTAAGCTCTTGGATAATCTCACCGGAAAGCTATAAGCCTGTACGAAAAATCTGACATCTTCCTCTCGTTGTGCTCATGTTCCAATGTCTGCAATAGACGGAAATGTTTGCATAGTGGAACGGTGTCCTACTCCGAGAGCGTATCCACTGAGAATAAACTCAGTGAGACCTACCGAGTGCGAGAGTAAGCGAATCCAAAAGCGAGCCAGAACTCGAAAGACAGCGATCGAAATCGCGCCTATTCTTGTCATCGGGCGGAACGGCTCCAGTAGTACTGAACTTTTACGGCCGTAAGTTTGTCCCGCGTACCCGGGGTCCCTGAACCTGACCTACCAGCCGTAGTGACTAGTTTCGTTTGACTGGGTCTGCAATTGCAGCCATATTGCCGTGCATAAGGACCCGCAAGATCTATGAAATCATCGGTGTGGCTTTGGTATGACATGTACGAACATGACGGCAAGAGGTCTGCATAATACATGGAAGCTCAGTACGGTGAGCCTATCCACGGCCCAGCGGCGTGACGGTGGATTCCTGCGAGATCCCGAGTTCAACTGCGCTGTCGACGCAAATCTTCGACATCTTGAACACGGGGACGTCGCTCTCGTTCATACCCACTCCCGTACGTGCACATCAATCTTCTATTGCTCATATTAAGGCTATTCCTGAACCGCTTGACATCGCTTTGGCAGATCGTTCAGGCGGTAATAGAGAAGTTTGTACCAGGTGCGACCGTGCAAGACGTGTTCTTTGTCAGCTGCAACGCTACTGCCCCACACTTTGCGGTCATGATCGGCGGCGGCGTCGAGTACGCGATTGAAACGTTATCCGTCCAGAGCCCGCCAAAATTTGCTATTCCAAACGATCGACCATACATCGTCAACTGGGTATCATAGTATAGTAAAATAATCGTCTTCGCCATCGAGCTCCTCGTGACTATGCACCATCTAACCCGAGTGAAGGCAGGGTTAGCAGGGTTCCTGAATGACATGCGGTGAAGCATACCCAATGGGAAATGATCGCGGAAATCACAGAGACTGCCTCTCCTGAGATTCTTGACGATAATCCCGTGATAAGGAGCTCCTTGGATTGGAAGTAGCTGCCACCTCCGTTGTCGCTGAGTTTAAGGATGATGAATATCCATGTATGCCCATTCGTCAGGACACCGCGAATTATAGGTTTCCTGAGTAAAAGTAATGATGAAAATAGCATCGCACAAGAATGCAAGACTTGATTGACCTTGCGGTCCTTGCGCACGCTAACATCTCCCCGACAGCTTGCGGTACGTGGTGTTGAAGGAGCTGGTTGGGACCTTTGGCTTCAGAAACAAACAAGGCAGACTCGTCATTCTTCAAGTGCTGCAAGAAAGGGTGTCGCAAGTATATATCTGCAGGATGTTGAGTACAAGCGTTCAGACGACGGACAAAGGAAACGTACGGGCTTTTCGAGCGGGCATCACTATAGCTGTCCAAACTACGTATCCGGAGAGTGTGTGGGCACTTGTGTTACTGACGGTGACGGATGGGACGACTTGTTCAACGCTCAACACCATCTTCGAGCCACTCGAGATCATGACAGCGACACGGTAAAAGAAGGCATTGATCCACAGACGTGCTGCAGCTTCATTCTGAGCGACAATTATCCGTCAATGTGGTTCTAACGAAGGCATGACGAGAACGTACTGTTCGTGGAACGAGACCCTCCAGAAACTGAAGATGACGGCAGAGCATATCAGACGACCAGATGGAATCTGCTCCAAGAGCATCTGTCTGGACCGCACGAGGAATTGCGTTGGGCTTCAATTCGAGCAGTCCGGAGGCGGAGATGCCCAGCTTGTCCAAATGATCCTGGGTCATGTTGGAAAACGAATAGCTCGTAGCGTGCATGCCATCAATCATACGAACCTGTGGGCCATCAGCCTTCGATTGCAGCATCTTTAGAATGTCATCCAACTGATGGAGTTCCGCCGTGTCGTCGAACGTGGCCTCAAGCTCTGGATCGTCCCTGTTCACCGCCTGCTCCTCTCGCGACTTGTCCACCAACGCTTGAATTGCGTCCACAGCCCTGGCGAGCTCGACACCAGTCAAACCAGATCTTCTGGGTCGTTTTGCGGGCATTGTCGAAGAGACAGTGTCACTAGCGGCAAAAGGGATGACGAGGATCTGAGCAAGGGGGTGGTGGTGGTCTTAAGAGTCGCCTGAGCCCGCGCCACAAGCGGCAAGCCTGTCGTGCAATTCGCCGCCGAACTCAACCTACTTCCCGTTCAATTTGGATACTTCATATGACGATGTTCATGTATAGTACAGCAATTTGCCTTGAAGGCAAAGCGTATGTATGTACAGGGGTGAAAGCGGCAGTAGGGACAAGTACGGAACGAGAAAAGCATGAGGAAATCGCGGCGGCCAAATGCAAGAGAGCCTCCCCATGCCGCCACCGCACGTAGAAGATGTAAGGTCCAATGGAGCAGACGGGCATGCGTGGGTTATGCACAACAATGAGATAATCCAATATAAAAAGGAAGATGAGCGACGAACTAGGGAGGGCGCGACAGCCAGCCACGGCGCCTCAGGCGTAGATTATTCTGATACGATGAGGATGGGGAGGAGAGATGAAGGGGAGCTGGACGTGGGATAGCGCGGCGGAGAATGATAGTAATACGGATGGTACAACCCTGCAGAGAGTAAACGTCAGTCGGCGTAACTGCATGATGAAAGCACGCGGGACGTACCGAACATCTAAGGACGACAGCGGGACAACTACAAGATGCCTGAATCCTTCAATGCGTTCTGTAATATTGTCTCCTTCACGGCCGCGAAGACCAGACGGATGTTGCTGGTATCGGTCGCCTGCGTGAGGTGCGGGTAGACGCTGAGCCGCGCACGGTTGGTCTGCATAAATCGCCAAAGGATGTACTTCGCGGCCTTGTTGATGTCAGGACCGCCCGTGTATTCGGGAAAGTATCGCTCCAGTGGCACCTAGGACGAGGTCAGAAATGAAAGTTTGTGATATCAGAGTGGGATAACCACCTTGGTGATTTTTTGCCGGAAGACGTCTATCTTATTCAGAAACAAGACGATCGATGTACGAAGAAACCATCGCGAGTTGATGACGGAGTCGAAGAGAACCAACGACTCGACCATCCGGTTCTGTGGCAGGGGGATGCTGAGTTGGAAGATATAGAAGGGAAAACGTTCGACGCACCTGGTTGTTGGCCTCTAATAGACCTTGGTCGTACTCGCTCAAAGCAGTGCAGAAGATGATACTTGTTACGCTTTCAAAGCAGTGGATCCATTTTTTCCGCTCTGATCGTTGACCGCCGACGTCAAACATGTGTATTCTTCGATGATCGGATTAGGGGCGGTTGGCAAGTGGTGGAAAGGCAGCAAGTCACGCACGATAGCTGGCCCATGTTGAACCGCGTTTCACTGATGCCCGTGCTCTTTGCTCGTGCACGTAAGACGTCGGCAACGACAGGTATGTATTGAGGATTGCCTATTCGTAACGCCTCGTTGAAGAAGCTAAACGTCGACGCGAGTTAGCATCAAGGCACAAGGATTAAATTCAATTACTCACTAGCTTGCCGAGTCCATGAGGTAGAACTCGGATCCACGATCCATGATCTTGGCTATGATGGGATCCTATACGCGTACGATTAGATCACGAAACGCAGAGTAACCACGACGAAACGTCGGTTCAGAGCGGGAGAGTATCTACTCACCTGCCACAGTTGGTGGATCGCTTCAGCCAAACCTTCAGGCAGGACGTACGAAGCCGCAGCAGGATTCGGAGCGGGCCTATCACGCATACAGTCAGCGCTGCACTGTGGCACGTATATATCCACGACGACCTACATTGCGCTCGACGGAACAGGAAGAGACGCTACGGGAAAATCGGCTATCTTGTCTGCGTTTGGCTGCGGCGATGGGTCGTCAGCAAGGGAAATCATACGTGAGTTAAGGCTGCGCACTCGATTATGAGGGAGGACGCAGTCAACGCCGAGTTTTCGCATCTCAAAAACTATCGCCTGCGCTGAGTCAACTAGATTCCGGTAGATGATGGGCTGAGGACGGTAAATCAGCGTTCAGTCCAGTGGAAGGGGGAAACGTTGGCTAAAAGGCGGATATATGCACCTTGAACGCGATGAGTTCGTCCCTGTCAAACCCCTCTTTATGTATTATCTTCATTTGCTTCACAATTGTCGTCTTTCCGGACTCGCCAGAGCCTGTGAGTGCTCAGCGTTAGCGAACGGGTTCCTGGGGGCATACGAGATCGAAAACGGAGCGGTAAGGTGGCTAGAGGCGGCTGGATGAAGAGATGGCAGCGAGCGATTCTATGCAAGCTCTTTCAAGCGTTTCGATCGCCATGCAATTGTCGGTAGATGCGGAAGCGAGGTTTCGGGCGGCAGAGGTGTGCAGTGCGGAATATCCGCTCGACCATGATCGCATGCACGCGCATGCTGTGAAATTTTGATGTTGGACAACTTGATTAATCGGCATACAAGACCGGACTGTGCGACCGAGGGGTGAGGGCGACCTCGCGCGGTGTTGAGAGTTTCTGAATCCCGGCGCAGGCAGGCGATCATGAAGAGCGGAACATATGCCTTGTCTTCCAATGTCTTCCAGATATGCTGACGTTCCCAGTGGTTCGTTGCCCCTCCGCATCCCTGGTCACTGTCCGACCTCGCCCAGCAGCCACACCACCTCCAGCCACAGGGGGAAGAGAGAGAAACGAAAGAAGGGGTAGCTTACCTAGCAGAAGAATCTTGCATTCTTTCCTAAACTTCCTCGAGTCCTCCTCTATTTGTTTGTCGATATCGGCGGAGCGCTGCTTCGCGGCGATCTCGTCTTGGGAGGAGACGCAGTTACCCATGGTTGGGTGGGGAGAGATGCGTCAGGTCGGTCGTCGTGTCGGAATCGGGTCGTATCGTATGTTATGAATGAGATGGCAAGCGTTGGCGAAGCGCAAGGCGAGCGGAGGAGGGTAGAGCGGGGTGACCGATTCCGGAGAGAAGGAAGGGTAGTGTGGGACGAGCACAAGGAGAAGTTGATGATGTCAAGAAGATGACTTTAGACGGTGGGGGCTCTGATGGAGTCGAGTGGGAGCGCTGCAAGCGTATCCGCGTAGGGAACAAGGGCGACGTTGCGCTCAGCTACCGCCTCACCAGCGCCGGCGACGAACACGCACAGGGAACAATGCACGGGCGGGACCTGAAGGTGCTGACTAATCAGTGGTGGCGGTGCACCTTCCTTATGCGCACAAATGAGCACCATATCCGGTAATATCCTGTTGCCAGCCACCCCCGGCCGGCTCGGCAACACCACAGCGTCAGCACCCAGCGGGTCCCGCTCACACGCACCTAGGCCCTTCGCTGTCCGGACAACAAATGAATCTTGTCTCCGCCGCAACAGATCCTTCGTGACATATTGTCTGGACAGGTCAGCCTAAATGGACTGCTTGGAACGCAGTCATCGTTGATACCTCATCGTGACCGGGACAGGCACCCTCCTCATCTGCCCTTGACGGATTCTCAGCGACATGTGCTCCAGACTTCTTCTAATGCTTGATTATGCATGAAAGCATGACCGCTGGAGTCGCCCGTTCGAGGCTCAACATTCGATGGCACACCCGTTCGCGGCCCATTAATCGAAGGTAACGCGCTGCCTAGTATTTGATCCCCAACATGAACGTCTGTCCTTGGACTGCATGACGGAAGCTGTCGAAAGTTCAGAACATGCGTAGAATGCTGACGTCTCACGGCTAACTTGGATCGGCAGAGTCGCGACATCGTACCGAAGCTATGTCGATGTCGTCTGTATTTACCTCCTCTACTCGCTGGCCCGATCGCAGCTTCGGCACGTCGTCCGATCGTGTTATTCCGAACCCGTCTTATGCCACGACAGTCGCCGCGGTCGACATGTCACCTCACCCAGTCCTTAGAAGTTGCGGCGTATGTATGCGATATCGCATTTCGGATGCAATATGGACTTACCGCGCTCCATCCCTGTCGTCCTCTGTCGTCCTGAAACCAGTCTCAGACCGGACGTTCATGAATCATTACGGGATGTGACACGACGGTGGGCGAGCGCACGGCATGCGCAGCATCGAGGCCATCTCTTCTCGTTCGCATTCCACAGACACAGTTGCCGTAACTATTCATCTAACACGTTGCTACTCCTGTTCGAGGGTAGTGTGCGTATATATGTATCGCGAAACAAATGGTACATGTTTCAAGATCTGAGCTTAGATTCGAGCGGACTTGTTCGACTGTACGTAAGTTTACGCGCTGCCAGTATATAGTTCCAACCGAGCTGTTTGAGTCCGCTTCTGATAACTTACGCTTGCTACTTATGTCGTGTATTTTCAATCTGAAGGCGTGCTTCAGGGACATGTGCCCAAGTATCGAGACTTTGGAGATGTTGACGTCGACTCGGTACCGTCGATTCCGTCGCAGCGCCATAGCTGCCATTGCGTCACACTCCAGTTCCTCTAACCCTAACCCACGTATACTCCTTGCACCAGAACGACAGTCATACACATGGCGGAAGCAAACCCTCCTTCCGAGATACAGATCAACGTGAAAGGTTCGTTCTTTGCGATGCCCTGAGCGGTCGTAGCTAACCAGTTGCGCCAGGTCCCTCCGAGCTCAAACTTCAAATTACCATTTCCACCGATAAGACCGTCGGCGATCTCAAGCAGGCCATTGCGCACAAGTCTGATGTCGAGGCTGACAGGCAACGACTGATCTACTCTGGGCGCGTCCTCAAGGTGAGCTAGCCCACTTTGCGCGCAAGATTCATGCATTGATGGGGAGACTTCAATGGCGTAGGATGAGGACGTGTTGTCAACCTACAAGATCCAGAGCGGCCACACCATACACATGGTGAAAGGAGCGGCCCGAAGTGCTGGAGGTACTTCAGGTACGTTTCTCTCTGTGATTATGACGCCGCGCTTCAACTTGAAACGCCCTTAGCTTCGACGTCTACAGGCGCAGCGCCTACACCCGCGCCGCTTCCGACGATGCAAGCTGGTCAGAACGTGCACGATCCTCTCACGCAGCTGAATGGTCATCTTGGATTTGGCAATATGGCGGTAGCTGGGTTGAATCCGTTCGCCGACATGGGCCTCAATCCAAACGATCCGAACATGGTGCGTCCCTACCGCATCACCATCGTCCCCCTCTGCGCCCCTCGATGCACACTTTGAGTGTTTATTGATCGTGTTTGTCTGACGGTCTAGATTCAAACCATGATGAATTCGCCGCAATTTCTTCAGCAAATGAGCTCTGTCATGTCCAACCCACAAGTCATCGATCAAGTGAGCATCGACCTTGCCCGCCTCGTCTGGTCGCGTCGTCGACCAACGCGTCCTAACTCGTTCCGCAGATCATTGCCATGAACCCGCAACTTGCGGCGATGGGACCGCAAGTTCGCGCCATGTTCCAAAACGAGCGGTTCCGCCAGTTGATGTATGCTCGAGGGTCTTCTATATGTCATCCTGTGCTGAAAAATCTGCAGGTCGAATCCTGAATCCCTGCGGGCCGTCATGCAAATGTCGCAACTGATGCAGGACAGTGGTGTGGCGCCTCCCGGCGCTGGTTCGCCGTTTGGCGGATTGGGTGGCGGCATGTTCGGTGGTGGGCGCTGTGTCTTCTCATACTCACTGTACGCTCGCATTAATTGTTATCACTTTATATAGCCGGTGCTAGCAGTTTCCCCGCGCCAGGTGTACCGAACGCTGGCGCCGCGCCCGCTGCTGGGACCGAGACTCAAGCAGGGTCAACCGCCTTTAGCACCACGCCTGCTCCCGGCGGCACATCCTCAACGAGCCCTGCATCATCTGCCGCTCCTGGTTCTCCTCCTGTCAATCCGTTCGCTGCACTAGGAGGAGGTGCCGGTGCCGGAGGCCTGTTCAATCCCGAAATGTTGCAACAGATGCAAACATTGTTCGGCGCTGGAGGTATGTATATATATATATATGACTGCTGCCGCCCGAGAATCCCGCTCCATGCCCGCATTCTCGACCTTCTTCGGCGTCTTTTATGTCTTCCATGACCCCACTCTGATGATCGCATGCTAGGTGGTGCCGGCGGCTTGGGCGGCTTGGGCGGTCTCGGGGCCGGTGGGCTGGGAAGCTGGGGAGCGGGCCTAGGGGCCGGTGCACCTCCAGCCCCTGCAGATGCGCGACCGCCAGAGGAGCGTTTCCAGGTGCAACTGCAGGTCCGCACATTTTTTTTCGGTCTCGTGCAGCCTATCTGAAATACTACATGTTTCCGCAGCAACTTCAGGACATGGGATTCACCAACGCTGCCCAGAACGTGCGCGCTCTGCTCGCTACCGGCGGCAATGTCCACGCAGCGATAGAGTACATTCTCAATGGAGGTGGTCTCTGAGCTTTGCAATGTGGACCCCTCCGGGGATAGTGTCAATCCTAGTTGCGAGAATGAAGCTATTTGTGTTGTAGGACAGGAAGGAGACTATTAACGTGGTGGTGCTGACAATGGGGCTGAAAATATAGTATCATCCTTGCATCCTCCACTTTCCCATTGGTTTCTAGTCTGGATGCCTCGGGTTGTTCACGGTGCGTTGTCTGCGTGTCGGTTGCATCCTCCTCCGGTTCAAGCGAGCGACGGTACGACCGTGATGAACCGGGGCAACGGATGACGTGACTAATCGCTCTCTTCCCACCCCTCTATCTCGACTCTATCTCAACGCCTTCCGGGCAGCCAGCTTGAATCCTGAAATCATCAGTCAGGCTATGGCGCTGCATATACTGGGATCCTCGTCGGCTTCCCGTACTTACAGTTGTACCTGCAGCGGAATCTTGCGCGTCCATCCGAAGCCTTAAGTCTTTTCCAACATCCGCGGACGAAAGATATGCTGGCGCGTTCTCCCACCTCATCATCAAAGAGCAGGACGCTCAGCCGCTCGCCGGTCTCCTTCGGCTCATGGGACTGAATTGAATCGGATGCTATCGTGTTTCTTCCCGGTTCCGAGAACGTTAACCGGCAGCGCTGCGAATTCCCTCGGTGACTTCGACACCTCTCCGACTCCCTTGCCCGACTCCCGTCCCGTAGCGTCCCGTGATACGTGGATATGCTGATTACGACGGTGACCCAGCTCAGGTCCGAGTCGGTGCTCCTTTCCCTCATACCACTAGGACAGCCTGCTGCTACGCTCTCGTACGTCTTCCCGACGAAACTTACCCTTGGCCAACTCCGTATGTGACGACCTTATTGCAGACATGAATGTCCGCCGGGGAATCGCCGGATGGTCTTGCTGAGTTTCTTTGGGCCGTGCAAACCATCAACATGAACTGGTGTGCGTTCGGGTGGCTCTGCTTTTGTACGAAGACTTTTACCAATAGCTCATGCGTAACTCGGTTGCAGTAGCAGCCCTCACGATATCGACATGGAATGTCTGCGTTTACTTTGACCAGGAAGTCGATCGTATATGGTCACTCTCCTGGCGAAGTCCGATGAAATGGGCTTACTTTTGCACCCGTCATGTTGCCCTGGTATTTCATGTGTACGTCAAAGTTTCGGGCAAACGCTGGCCGTGGTCTTCGAGAGCTAATCTCTCATCACGTATAGCCTGCTTGCCTATCAGATTTTCGCTCCGGCCAACGGCACGCTCTTCACTACGTCGCAATGCCGCTCCTGGTTCACTTTCGAGATGCTTGCTCTTCCCCTGATTATGGCGAGCGTTCAGGTTGTCTTAGCCCTCCGCGGTTCGTCATAATCGTTGAAACATCGAGGAGCTCACGAGCTCCCAAGTGAACTGCCTTCGCTGAAACGACCATAGTTTGCGCCATCTACAATAACCACCCTTTTGTTGTTGCATCACTTGGAGTCCTCTGGGGCTCGTCGATTATTGCTATATTGACCGGAATTGGTGTCTACGTGAACACCACACCAATCGACGATGCCTGTCATACAACCAGTATCTCAGCCTTGAGACATTTGCTGTCTCTATGCATGTTCGTCGGTTCCACAGCTTCTTGTCTCATCCGCTTACTTTCCTCCCCCTCAGCTTTATACCCATCATCCTGGATACTTATCTCATGGTTCTTACGACAAGGAAGTTCATATCCGCCCATCGCGAAGGCTGGGGACGTACACCCATTCTGTCACTGGTTGTTCGAGACGGAATATGGGCCTTCGTAGTTCTTTTCCGTGCGTACGGGCCTTGCGGACAACCTACTTCGGTGCTCTGATGCTCTTTACGCAAAGTGTGTGCGATGTCCAATCTCCTCACCGGTTTTGTTATCGTTGACTACATCGGCGTCATATCCTACGGGTAACGTACTCGGCTTTTGTCGAGGTGCCTCTCGTTAACGATATCGTACCAGTTGGACTCTGACGTTTGCATCTTCCGCCGGTTCACGCGTCATTCTGAACTTGCAATCGTTATCTCCAACCTTGCCTACGACATCGACCTCGCTGTCTAGCGATGGAGACAGACAACAGATTCAGATGTTGACGAGCCAAATCATGACTGATCCCGACGACAACGTGACGATGCTCTGATTGGCATGCGTGAAGGAAGGGACGCCGCAGTGTTCACAACGTGAACGGACATTTCGCATTCCTTGTTTAGAAGCTATAGCCATCCATACACGTCCACTCATTTCCGTGATATCCAAATCGTGTTGTTCACAGTAGATCACATTATTACAAATTGTGTTCAATTCAATCGTTCATACTGGCTTGGTTGACTGGTTCAATGGGATATAGTACTGTCCGTCTATTCATGAGTACACCAGGCCCTCTCATCGGCTGCGCTTTGATCCTTCCAGGAGCTCTTAGATAGCCACACAACGCCAACCTCACACGTAAAGAATATTCGAAGTGACAAGCACGACGGTCATGTCATTAGACTAATATTGGATTAACGTCATAGGGATCCTCGTCTAACTACACTCAGCAATGGATGGGCTTGTCGTACGCAGCCATGGCCGCCTCCTTGAACGCCTCGGACAGGGTGGGCTATTTCTTCCGTTAACACAGGAAATGAGGGCAGCGTTGTGCGGGGAACTTACGTGAGCGTGCGTTGTCCGTGCAACGTCCTCGGCACTCGCGCCATACTCGATAGCGAGGACAGCCTCCGCGATCATCTCGCCGGCGTTGGGACCGATGATGTGCACACCGAGCAGCTTGTCAGTCTCGTTCTCCGTGATCATCTTCACCTGGCCTTCGGTGTCGAGGTTGGTCTTCGCACGGGAGTTGGCCGAGAAGGGGAATTTGCCGACGGCGTACTTGACGCCAGCAGCCTTGAGTTCCTGCTCGGTCTTGCCCACCCACGCAACTTCGGGGTATGTGTAGACAACAGAAGGGATGGCGTGGTAGTTGACGTGACCGTGACCAGTCTTGATGTACTCCACTGCAGCAATACCTGGCACCAGAGACAAAGTCAGGTGTGGGTTCCATGAGGAACATTCTGCATGACAAACCCTCCTCCTCGGCCTTGTGCGCAAGCATGGGACCGAAAGTGACGTCACCGATGCACTTGATGTTCTTTACCGAAGTGTTGAACTGGTCGTCAATGACAATGCGCCCGCGGTTATCCACCTCAACGCCAATCTTCTCGAGGTTAAGACCGGTAGTGACAGGGCGACGTCCTACGGAAACGAGGACAACATCTGCCTCGAGCTAGAGTAGCGCAATCAGCATCCGAGTTCAGAACATTTACATGGTGCTTCACCTCTTCCTCCTTGCCGCCCTTCGAGCCCTCAGTCTTGATGTAAACCTTGCCTTCTCGCTTTTCCGCACCGGTGACCTTCGTGTTGAGCTTGAACTTGATGCCTTGCTTGGCGAGAATACGCTGGAATTGCTTACTGGCATCGGTCTAATCAATACCAGGGAGTCACGACCAATCCACAGGGATTGCTTACGCGATCTCTTCATCGATACCAGCACCACCGATACCGCCCAAGAACTCAACGACAGTTACTTCAGCGCCAAGACGACTATAACATGCTTGTGAGTGTCTTCAAGATTTTGTAAGTGCATGATCATACCTCCATACACTGCCCAGCTCCAAGCCGATAACGCCTCCACCGATTACGACTAGCTTCTCTGGCACCTTCTTGAGCTCGAGTGCGCCGGTGGACGAGACGATCTGGGAGCAAGTGATAAGGAATGTCGGTCAACCATAGACGGAGGTTTCGGGCACCTGCTCCTCGTCGATCTCAATTCCGCCACCGGGGAAGGGCGCGACTTCACTACCTGTAGCGATGATAACGTTTTTGGCATCGACCTCGGTTTCCCCACCCTCGTTCAGTGATACCGCGATCTATAAGAAAATTGAGAAGTGCTCAGGAGTCATGAGAGACATAATAGATGTGCGCAGCTCACCTTCGTGGGCGATACAAAGCTGCCAGTACCCTTGATGTAGTCAACCTTGTTCTGCTTGAACAGAAACTCGATGCCCTTGGTGAGTGAAGTAACAGACTGCTCCTTGGCCTTGAGCATGTTCGGTAGATTGAGCTTGACCTCCGGAACTAAACGCGGACAGTAAGCGTTTGTAAGATTGGCCAGGACGACCGGGCAACACGCACCGTCGATACCACGTTTCGCGAAGTCATGCTGCGCTTCGTGGTACTTGTGCGAGTTGTTGAGCAGTGACTTGGAGGGAATGCAGCCAACGTTGAGACATGTTCCACCAAGAGAGCCCCGTTTCTCTATGCAGGCAGTCTATGACAAGCATTAGTCGTACTGGCCATAACCGGCTGTCATGTGGAAACTCGCCTTGAGCCCATGCTGCGCCGCCTTGATTGCGGCCACGTATCCACCCGGACCTGTTAGAGTTAACGTCAACTCCATCTATCTATTCGACGAGATGTGTAGAAGTGACCGACCTCCGCCGATGATGACACAGTCGTAAGGCTCAGACGCTGTAGCGAGCCCGCGACGAGTTGCTGCAGCCGCCCTAGCAGCACGTCGGGCAATGGTCTAACAAGTGGTTGCAACTCAGAACCACACATTTCTTGCTTCTGCGCGTAACACGTACTCGCTGCGATGCACGTTGAAGCTGGAGCATGTTGGCGCGAAGAAATACCAGCTAAGCGTAGCCAGAAAACAGATGCGGTATATGCAAGACGGCACCCGATAGTGACCGAGCCGACGGCGAAAGGGGAGGACGACGATGATGACCAACGAGTGGTGTACGGTGTCCGTCAGCGTAAACTAACGAAGTCCAAAATGACCACTCGGGGCGCGCCGCGAGATTCAGGGGCATTGCCATTCCGGGTGCAATCCCGGACGTCCGCTGCCTTCCAGCGCCTTCCGACCGCAACCGCGCCCGCCCTTGCAGGTAGCAGTGACGTTTATCCCCGTCTAGGAGCTGGCGCGCGCAGCGTCCAACAAACTAACAGATGTACAAGCGAAGACGAATACAGGGTAATGTACATGAACGGATCTTCCCTCATTGAGAGTCCATTTCCGAGGTTGAAGAGTTTTCGCGATCGGTCTCCTGGAATTTCTGCTGTGACCCTATGCGCATAGGACGGGGTTTCCGTGGTGGCAGCAGAGAGGCTGCAGGTAGGCATTCACCATCGATGAATACGTGTGTGGTGAGCATCGGCCTGCTCTCGTTGACGTTGGAATGCACGAGATCGTCGTCCTGAGTTTCGGGCTGAGATGGGAAAGATCGCATGTTCAACACGATCCGTGACCCGGTGAATGACAGGAAAGCAATCGTCCAGCTAGGTATCGAACGATTAGATATTGTGGCCATAGGTTCGAATAAGTACACGCACCAGTATGAAACGATTCCCGAAGTACTCGGCTTGCCGACGGTTACGTGTAGGTTGGCAATCGAGCACCCTATTGATATGAGAAATTTTGTGATATCTGTTGCTCACGATAACTCACCCAAACTAAGAAGAAAAGCCCACAATCCATCGCGAACTACCATGGATAATATAGGCGTACGTCCCCACCCCTGCTTCAATGCCATGATGAACTTGGCGAGTGTTAGAACAGCGAGGACGAGCTCGAGAAGGAAAGAAACGGATCTGCAAATGCCACTCGATGACACTAGCTCCTTGCATGCCGATCAAGAGCGACGCACATGGTGATGGCAAACATGTCCTTTGCGTGCTCTCTGGTTTCTGCATCTTCTGCAGGAGCGCATATCGGATTCAACCGGATACGACCAATATACACCTGATTAACGGGAAATTGTTGAATTCACGACTTTGCACAGGGAATCGTACGCACCGCAGTACCTATGACGGCGGCCGAAACTGAACCTATCCACAAGGTAGCCAAGACCGACTTGATGAGCCATTGGTGATGGTAGAGTGCACATACTAACAAGGACACAAGGAGAGCATAATGTGAGTTAGTTCGTCAACAGGACGTAGATGATGAAGACACGCTACTCACCACGTAAAATGAGGACAACCTGCACCAAAGTGATCACGATCGGTATGGCAACGACCTGCAGCATCCACCAAGCGTGGCATTGCTGGTTATCGAAGAAAGTTCCATGGGAAATGTCCAGTATCTGGACAAGAAGGCCTCTGCCATAGTCATAACATCAATACATCACCGCATTTTCGCGGGAACCTTAAGAGCTTACGCCTGAGCTGCCAGCGAGAAGTATCGAAAACTGAGAAATAGCCATTTAGTAGGATTTCGCCATGAAGCCAGCCATATTCGCTCGATCTCCTGGTCATAAGTTATGCAGATGTCCCAGAAGGTAAACGTGAGCGCAGCAACTGAAGGGGGGTGTTATTCGGGAAACCACTATAATGGCGCATGAAGAGTGACTAACGTGCGTTAGCGCCCAATACCCGGGCGTCGATGGCCTCTTGGATGGTTCTGGCAGAGCCACTGCCGTGCACGGGCTGATCCACGAGGTGCATAATCCTACGTCAGGGCCGACTGCGTCCTCGCGAGGCCGTCGCTGTCATACGTGGACAGGTAAAGTCGTGGTGAAAGGTCCTGGGCGAGAGCGGCGAAGTCGCGAGCACGTTCGGTATCCCTGCGAATATGAATGGTGGCGGATGGAGAGATCTATGGGTGAGAGGGGCTTGTCTTCAGAAACCATGGTCCGGCACTGCGGGATCGCCTACGGGCGCGAACTGACAGCTCGAAATCGTAACCGCTCGCAGCAGTGGATGTCGGCAGAAGCCGAGAAGGGAGTGGGTATCGAATCACGGTGCGAGGAAGGCTACGATGCACCCGCCGGTACATTCTGGACTTCACAGGGAATCAATTGCGTTTGGTCATCCACTGACATGGCGAGGACAGAATAGCAGTGCACAGTGTGGATCAGTGTATTGGACGAAGATGCCTGGGAACCTGTAGGACGGTTACGGTCGGTATCAATTCGCTCAAACAATGCAAACCAAAGCTACGAGGGCAACCATCGTGCTCTTCCTTGGCAGCCTGAGATGCATGTCTGGATCCATATATATTGCAATTGCCGACTTAAGGTTCATCTATCCTTATGGAGGATGCGTTGGTCCGGAGTGTATGCCACAACGGTATAGGCAGCAGGTACTGGAGACAAGTGAGCTAGGTTTACCAGTGATCCCGTATCATTAGCATGAGGAAAGACAGTCGAAGGTCACCGTTATAGAGACCGATACTTATCGATAACATATGGTGCAATGCAACGGGCAAGGGACCCAGTAACACACGCATGTGCAGACGATTGCACCCAGCCAATTCAATCAGAGAGAAACATCTTCTTATTGTAGCGAGTACAACTTCGTGAGGTATCAACTGCTGGCCCGATTATTTGCTCTTCATCTGTGCTCTCGTCGTGCAAGTCTCGAGGCGAGGCGGGAAAGGAATACGTCATCACGAAGTCGGGACTTTCCGACCTACTCTGGCCTTTGGCGCCTGCAGGCTGAATCATGTCTCCGCCAAACCTCCCGACATGCGTATTATGATCTCTGCCGCAGCTCGCTGTTCCACTACCGTCTTATCCTTGTCCATCACCATCCCCGACGTGCTTTATCCAACAACGTTCGGGAATTCTATCTGCTAACTCCGCGGAAAGCTCCCAGCGTCCCATCCGATCATCCAACGTGCGCGAACGAGTCGGAACCGTAGGAAAACTCAGTCATGACCCAGCCCCGTGTCCCAACGCTGCAGCTGCAGTCGAACGAGTTCTGCATCTGTGCCGGATCGCTGCTCTTCCGTCACATCCCTAACAAGAAGCGGAAAACTGGGCCTACGGTATGCCCGTGATGTGACGATATCGATCAAACGGTCTTACCATGTCCTCGAGGCCGATGGCTTTGCCCCCTCAACCAATTCCAGCGTGGCGACGGATAAGAAACTAGAAGCATGTATCCTGTGGCATTCTGACCGAGAAGAATATCTTCTCCCCAAAGGTCGTAAAGACAGGGGAGAGAGTCTGGAACAGACCGCGCTCAGGGAAACGTACGAAGAAACCGGATATCCATGCAAACTTCTTCCGGTTGATATGGTCACCAGAGCTCCAGAGCCAGGCGTGAGTCCCACTCGCTCGAACTCGATTCGCGTCGTGGACCTGTCGCTGACTTGTTGCCTAGGTGAATACGAAGGACGGCGTTGGCCTCTATGTGGCAGATTGCATCGAGCCGTTCACAATAACCACCCGCCAAATCGCTGAACGGAATATGAAGTACATCTTTTGGTTTGTAAGCTGCGTGGACGAGGATCAGATCGAGGTTGAGGTCGACGAGGAAGATCCCGCAGCTGCTCCTGGTGCAGTTCCCAACGGAATTACGAAAGCACGTACACAACTCCGGCCCAAGTGGCCTCGCGATGATTGTGGAGAAGTGAAGAGAATTGAAGGCACGCAGATGGATAGCGAGCGCTTCGATAGCAGATGGGTGAGCAATGTTGCCCTTCGTCGATAACGGCACTTTGCTGACAATATCGATCAGTTTCCCGTAGAGGAGGCACTTCAGAGGCTTACATTCACAACGGATCGCGAATTACTCGCTCGTGCGGTCGAGCTTGTCCGGAATACGTATGGACAGGATGACCGTCCCTCCTGATAGCTACTCAGAGTCTCCTGCAACTCTCGATATCGAACGCAAACCGGCTTCGGAGGTGGCCATGAATGGCGGATTCCCATCTCCTTTCAGATATTCACCCTACCTCCGTAGATCTCTCGAAGGTTCTTGATCCGGATGCACATCTGATTGTAGCCATATCCTAAAGTCTTCCTCTCCACAATGAAGAATTCATTGACCGTGCGCGTCACGGCCGTGAAAGAACTTCCATGTGTGAAAGTGGGTACCATTTCAGTACATCGGCTCACATAACGCGCCATATGGTTTCTCCCGATTTGCGCTTCGTGGCCGCCATGTGCAAGCGTATCGTCCGTCCATCACATGTTTGGGGAGGGTCGTTCGATATCGTGATCCGCTGAGACACATACTGACCAGAGGGATATTGTAGATATCAATTTCCGCCCAAGTAGTGGCGCACCCGCATGAAAGCCTGAAACGCGCGGTAGTTTGGCTGCTATCTAATGCCTTGGTGCAAAATTCAAGGTTAACGCGGGTTCCGTGCGCCTATTCTCGTCGTATGCCTCAAGCTCTGAACCTAATCCTTACCAGAGCAGAGCAGAGCGCGCCTCAGCCGAAGATTCGGTCGCTCAGGTCGCCGTCACGTCCTCAGGTTGGGTGCGCAGAGCTCGGTCTGCGCACGAATACCGTTACACTCAAGGCCAAGGGTTGTTCGGTTGAGCCGTTCAAGGTTGCATCGTGTGTTCGCCGCCAATTCTAGGCGGGATTCAGGTGGCTCCGGCATTCGTTCATTATCCGGAGGCGAATCGGCTACGTAGTGAAAGGACGGTCCTGGATCGCGCTCTGCGATATCGGATACAGTCAGGACTTTCTCTTAGCCACGGTATTAATTTACATTCACACATGCTCACATATAACGCATTCTTCAGGGTCGCGACGTCTTCCGAAACCTCAGCAGCCTTCGTGTGGGTGATCTACAACTTCGATGTCCCCCTACTGCAGAAATCGGGCACAGCCAACCCACAATAGCATAAGCTCCTGGTTCCCTTGGCGTTACCATCATGACCGATCACAACAGTATAGTGGCTCGCATTCGGTCAGAGCATGTTGGGCACGCGCATCACCTCTTCCGAAAGCCAAGCATGCAGTAATACCGATAGGCTGGCGGCGAACAACGCTCCACATATCAGTCTCAGTAAGGAGAAATTGCTTCCGTTGGCGGGCAAAGTTTCGGTCGTTAGCCTTCTGTCCATCATAGGGCAGGACGGTCAACTGTGCGTCAAAGCCTCGTCCCTGAAGATTCCGGTGGTCCAGGCCCCATTGATGTTTGCGCCGTGGTCTACAATCTTGTTTGCCGTTAGCCGAACTGGTTTGCAAGATGCCCCCCGTTTCACTTCGGGGTGCGTGCTTCACTGGTATCTTGTTTCCCGAGAATGATTCATCTAATGTGCGCCGTGGATAATGCACCGGAGATGGCAACGATGCGGTTCGATGCTGATATCTTGCCGATTGGGTTTTGCCGACTGCGGCCTTCGTCTCGCTTGAATATCCTAGAGCCAACGGCGTTGCTTCTGATATGAGAACCCCGCGCGCTGTTCCTACCCAGAGCTTAACTTTTTCATATTGTCGATGTACCATCAATGTCGTTTTGAGGACATTCATGGTGCCCTGCCCTCTGACCTGCGACATGTCCTCTCAATTCTTAAGAAAGGGTAGCTATCAATCTCAAGTGCTATTCTACTTAGGAGCATGAATATTTCTATGTAGCGGTTGGTCTGCCAGAACGATGCCGGTGGACGACCATTCTGCTCTGCCAAAAGTCTTTATTCCCATGCCAAGTCATCTCATGCCGTGATGCCGAGCGCCCGACTGGCTCGCGGGAGGCCCCGCCAAATACTCCTGCTTCGTCACCATTTTGGGCGGAGCTGGAACTCAGATGTCCCACTCTCCTCCATCCTCACTCAAAGATTGCCCTTCGAGACGCTCCCCTTTTTACTAGTACGAAAGAGCATATAGTAGACCACGTACCCAAATATTTTTATATTTTAGAATGTAACGATCCAGTGAGCCGAAGGATATCTTCGCGAGAGAACCAACTTGATTCATGCTTTCGACGACCTTGTTGATTTATGCTCGCGTTCGCAGGTACTCCACTCGTTATTGCTTTGACCCATAGCATGATATAATAGTTACAATGATGTATGTTTATTTTCAAGCCATAACAACGAATGAGCATCGTTGAGCAACCTCGTCTTTGCGGACGGACATTGATGGTGTGAAAGACATTGATGGTACATCGACAGTACTCACGCAGTTTCGATTTAACGCGGTGGACGGATACTCATCAGTATGCGACGATGTTCTCTCATGCTCATATCTATGGAAGTGACGGAAGGGCGCATTGGAATATTGCACGTCATCCATGTCTCGCGGCAGCTGACTTGCTTCAACGGCACAGATCGGTAACATCTTTGGGCCGTGACATCTCGTAAAGCAAAGGCACGTATTCCCTTCGATGACTACTTATAGACATGGTGAGAACAGTCCTCGGCTTCGACCGGCGCTTGTGAAGGCTCACGCTCTCCATCGAGGGCGCTTTTCTAACAAAAGCGGCTTCTTGTGAACTCTTAAGCGCCGTATACCGCGGCTGTACGATGAACTACACATTGCGAGCGCCTTTGTCGTACTGGACAAGGTTCCGTAAAGCGCCCCAGCAAGTCATCATGCCCAAAAGCCCGTTTTACTCTGAAGAACCCGGAAGTTCGGTCGCATGGGTAGTTTCCACTTGCCTATCGGGGACGCGGGAGGGGCATCCGCAGTGGTCTGCCCTTCCTCGTCACGAAATTCGCAGGGTTTGAGCTGCATGGGGCGCAGAAGTCGATTCAGTGGCTCAAAGGTTTCGAGGGATGCCTATTGCGGTCCGGTCAGTCTTTCATTGGGCTCCAAACCATATAAGACGCGGGCATTCCTTTCGTTAGTTGCGGTTATCTTGAAGCTTGTGATTGTGCCGAGCTCCTCGCCTTTCAACGATTTGACATGACATCGTATCCTACGGCACTGTCAACGAATACCTGAGCCGTGGGCTAGTCGAAGGACACACCAGCCGGCGTAACGTGCAGAGCATCCGGGCGCAAACATCACTCGGGGCGCTCAAACTCCGGGGCCTGGCATGCAAGAACCTAGACGTGACGCGGCCATGCAAGCGGGTCTCTGAATTTACTACATGGCTGCGTGACGCTAGGATAGATCCGGGAACGTAAATATGAGCGCGGGACCTTCGCATGAAGGCGGCGGACTCGCTTGTTCCAGCGTGTAACTCCCTTACCCGCATCGGATACACGAAGCACGACAAGAAGGTCATGCTCGTCTCTGGCTCTTATCATGCTCAGAGTTCTGTTGGCATCTGTCCATTGCGTGAGGTCCGTGCAGGATATATAATGGGCAGCAGACACTGGTCTCACTCATTGAAGCACCCTCTTACTCGTCCTTCAAATTCTGTGTACCCACAACGCGCCGATCGCCAAACATGTCTTGTGAGTGCGCTGATACCTTTGACGAGGCTGTAGACTAACGGCCCACGCACCTAGACTCCGACTCGCGCGTCCCACACGAATGCGTAAGGCACATTATACCATCTTGGATGCCGATACAACTATGTGCGATGTTCAGGGCAGAGAAGAACCCCCTACGAATGGCAGGCCCACCAAGCCTTCCACCGACAAGCCAGAGAGCAGTGGCAATGAAGGTCATCCACACCCTTTGCGAGGCTGGCATGCAGATTAATGCGTCTACAGTCAGACGATAATCTCGAACGCGAGACGTCAATCTGCTACTTAACAGGAATGTATATTAGCTCGTGTAGAGGGTAGCCTTTGGGCGCCAGGGCCGTGAACTTGCAGCCTTGATCAAACGCAAAGTCATGCATAGCGTATGACATTTGAAAACCCAACTATACGTATGATAAAACGCCTTTAGTCGCTATTTCTCAGCACCCCGAGATAGCTTGCCCTCCGTTTGTGATAAGGCGACTTCTTATCTGTCATATCCGCAAGGGATAAATCGGAGTTGATGTCTGGAATAGGTAGCGAGCGAGCGATAGGGGTGGGAGAACGCTTCGCTGCTTGCCGCTCTCTTTTGTGCTGTCGTTGTGCTCCTCTTTCAGCGACTTTGGGACAGACAACCTGGGCAGAGCACGAGGGGCATAAGCATCAAGTATTGGAGGTGAGAAGACCAAAATGCCTGCTCTCACCTTCCAGTGGTCGCCGCCGCAGATTTGACATGGAGTCGGAGGCGACTTCGTGAACCGTTGGTGACAGTCACGAGCATGGTGATTATTGCCGTGGCAGATAACGCATGGACGATTAAACGTCTGACGTTCGCCTCCTAGTTCGTGATCCTCTAGTCTCTGTATATAGTATGAATCAGTGTCATCACGAATGCCTGAGTGTCAAAAAGCAGGCGAAGGTGCTTTCGGGGGACGAAACTACGTACCTTCCCTGGAGGCGCGAAAGGACAGAGGTTACGCCAGTGGTCCCCGCCACAGTAGACGCAAGGCAGCCACGGTTTACTTGCTCGTCGCTCGTCTTCGTGAGTGAGGTACCTCAATCGAGCGACGAGTTGCCGTCGCCGACCCTTGTACGCCTGCCACCATTCGCGTTGTTCTTCGGATGCTGTGCAGCTCTCGACCCGGTGTAATCCACCACAAGAACTGCAAATACGCCCGGACAATAGGTGGCGTTCTATATGGTAGCCATCAATGACAAATGTAAGGGAAAAGGTAATGTCACGTACCGTGGACGATAATTGCCTCCACCGACACCGGGGCATGCAGGTGTTCCTTGTCTTCATAATCTGCCGCCTCTGCCTCTATTCCGCGGGACGTTGAAGACCGCGAAATCGGGACGAGAAACTTGGACGCGAAGATATCTTCCACCAACCAGGCGAACCGGATGTCCCGAATGGTTAGTCCAGGAAATGTAATGAGGGGTGGCTTATCCAGGTCTGGTCCAGTAGCCAATTCTGAAATTGCAACAGAAGATTCTTCGGTAGTGTCACCTATTTGTGAAGTTTCTTGGAGAGGATCGGGCCGTTGATCTGTTCCGTCCTGAATGGTCGCAACGCTCGCGGTTTGAACCACACCGAGCTGGGGGAAATGGAGGGGCGCCCATCCTGTTGGATGTCGCAGGCAGGAGTGAGTGTTCAACAGTAAGGTCACTAAAGTTGGGATGCCCGGTCTGATGGAGATAATAGGGTGGTGCTGCGAACTAGCATCGATCCAGAGTCAGTTAAGAGGGTATGAATCACGCACTTTCTCCTGGCGTGCCAGCATGTCGACCTCATTTACGAATGCCATGGCACCTTTCCATCCAAAGAACTTGTACTGCCTGTGAAGGAAGATGGCCTCCCGCCCAGGGAACGACTTGTCTACGGTTATCCGCCACCAATGCGACCAAAGCGGTTCCAAGAACGACGTGAATTGCTCATCGTTTATAAATGGTGTCGGATAGCGCAAGGTATCCAGAGAGGGTAGTTTTCCGAGGATGGAAGAAGGCGAGGGAGGTTCCGTAGCCGAAAGCGTCCTTGAAATACTGGAGTCAGAATCGCTGCTGGCCTGGGTTGTAGCGACAAATCTACGCCATGGGCGACGGCGTAGCAGCGTAAATCTCCATGTTACTGAGGCTGAAGAGCGCGCATAGTACATCCGGGACGGGCGTATAGTGTCAAGCACAGGTACTTCGGTTCGCCTGCAACGGCAGCCTTGGGTGAATTGGGGTGAATTGGGGCACATCAGGTCTACCTAACACGTGATCATACTGCTGTTTTGCTCGTCGAAGTTACGTTCTACGATGGCTGGAGAAATCTAGACAAGACGAAACACCGCGACGTTGTGCCCATGCGACTGCTTAGCGTTTCACCATCGCGCCTTTGTGAGCTCGAGGAACGGACGAGGGTGGCTATTCGCCTAGTCCAAGGACAGCCTATGATTAAATGCTTGGGCTGATAATTCAAACAAGTTTCTGGTAAGTTAAGGCCATGGCCAGGTCATTCCGATTCCCGAGAGCGGATTGTTTCATAATAAAGTCCCGGTTGACGGTGGCGGACTCGACTCCTTCTTTCACTCTGCATACTAGTACTTGGATCCCGCTATATGCCGGAGCTGTCGCACGGCGTGATCTCATACCACCATCTCCGGCTCGAGGCGGTATGGCCGGGCCCTGCTGCCGCCCTGCACCTCGCCCCGCCTTGCTGAATAGTGTGACCTTCCCATCCGCGTGACTCTCCACACATCCCCAAGGAAGCGCTTCTCGAGTACTGATCTTCCGGCGCTTTTGGCCCAGACGCTTCGTCCGTCCCTTACAACGACCACACAACCAGCCGGCGACCGCGTTACGGACTTTGTCCGGCATGTATTCGCTCCCTCTTGCCTGTTGACGGATCGAAACGAGTTACGAAGGCACCTGATTGGCCAGCGCGGTCAGTTGACCTCCATAGTCTTGCGATCATCACCCCGCTCTCTTTGGTAGCAAAGTCAGGATGCGAATCTGTCGACCGCGTGCCTCTCAATTATAGATAGCGCACACGGCCCGCTCTGTGCTTCCTAGGCATCAGCCTCCAACAGAACTCGGCAGCTCCATGGGTATATGAACTAGGCTGAATCGCTCCTCCGGCTGTTCTCCACGTTCCACTGGTCTGTAACGCGATGCGCAATATCCTTGACATCGTACCGATACTGTCATTCATTTCATTGGCATGCGCGCTCAGCTCGCCACCGAGCGGTGCCATCACTGTTGGCACTGGCGGGAAATATGCACAGCTCAGTGATGCAATGGCCGACACGTCAAGCAATGTGTATTTCGTGTTCTCTGGCACGTACACAGATACTGTAAAGATTACGCGGAGCAACATCAAAGGTGGCGTATTAGCCATTATCACACATATTATGCTATGTTCGCTGATTTCCAACAGTCTTCGGTCAGACAAGTACCAACCTCTCTTACACAGGCAACAGTACGTACGCGCATCATAATCATAGCTCATATCAGTGATCATATTCCCGCAGCCGTCACAATCACAAACAGTGCGTTATTTCCGTACCATACGACATTTCAATCTCTTCGTAAAATCATGTTTATTTGGCACTTTACGTAGACATTCCCGCTTCCGTCGCGGGATCTGACGAAGCTAGCGGGACTGTGCAAGTCACCGGGTCCAGCGTTTCGCTGTACAACCTAAACATCGCCAATACATACGGCAAGGTACGTCGCGCCTTATGTTAGACCCTGTTCCTTTGTTTGGTTTAATTGATACCCCTTTCTCAGCCGGTTGACCAAGCTCAGGCTATTGCTCTTGCCACGTACGGAACTCAATTCGGCGGATACGGTTTGAAGATCACAGGTGATCAAGATACTCTCCTGGCCAACGTCGGGCTGTAAGCTTGCTTACCCTTCTCCGTGGGAGGAGTCAATAACATGTCCTCTAGTCAATACTTCAAGAATTGCTGGATCGAAGGCGCTGTTGACTTTGTGCGCATTCCCATCTAGCTCATCCCAGTGATAATTGACAAAATCACAAACGCCAAGATTTTCGGACAACAATCTTCGATTTGGATCTCTACGAGTATTATCAACGTGAGCTCGTCATTTGCCCTTGCTACTTCATTCAATGCCATATGTACTCCTTAGACGATCGGGTCGGGCGCAATCACCGCCTCAGGCCGTAGCTCGGACGACTCCAATTGGTATGTTATAGATCACAGCACCGTTCAGGTGAGCGGCGATGCAATACGAACAATCGCATCAAGCAATGCCAACTCTGCGTAATAGGGTACAGGCACTGTATTCCTCGGCCGGCCGTGGAGAGACTATGCACGGGTCGTCTTTCAGAACACCGCACTGGGAAGTAATGTGTAAGCCACTCACCATCAGCTCTGCCTCAATCACTTATGCTTGGTCGACAGTCAACCAGCGGGTTGGGAGGAATGGAGCACCGCGACGCCAAAGTACGTTACGTTTCAACCCTTCAGGAAAGGTGATCGCAGTCTACTGACGGGCGCTGCACTGACGATAGCACCGACCACGTCACATTTGCGGAGTACGGCAACACCGGCGCAGGCGCATCTGGAACCCGGGCAAGCTTTGCGACGAAGCTTTCCGCGCCCATCGCAACAGCGACGGTTATCGGAAGCTCGTACAAGAGCTGGATCGATGCGGCGTGGTTGTGAAGAACGGCTTGGAATGTCAGGGAAGGGCAGTCAGGCATCATACATCAGGGCGAACCCATCACACTGGCATGGTCCCCGTGGAGTTCGCGTTCTTCGACGCACGATTATAGCTAGGCGTGGAATCTGAGTTTGCATACAATATCTGTTCTAAGACTGCTAATCGGCGATAAAGAAGCATAACCATGCATGAAACCTAGAAATCGTGTTAGCTCGCCGCGACGGTACTGGCCGAAAGCGGAGGAAAATGAGTTTCCTGGTTCCAAGTGCAGCATGGTTCACCCAACAGCCTTAGGCCCCGTTCGGTTGGGGTTGATTCTGTGAGAATCTTTGACTTTGACTTTCGTCCCCCTGTTATATTATGTTAAGTTTTTCTCACAGTCTTACCGTTTATGGTATGCGAGCAGAATCAAATCATCTGATTTTTCCAGAATCAGGCGTCGCCGAACGGGGCCTTAACTATGTGAACTGCTTGGCGTCAGCATGCTGACGTCTTGAAGCTCACTGGCCAATCACAGGCGGCAAAACTCACGTGTACACACTTCTGCTGAGGTAAGACCTTGAAATGCTTTCACGAGAACGATATGACGGCGGTCGAGCTCTCAGCATATGCGTCTTCATGATGGGTCAGATTAGATATTTAAAGAGCAGCTCTAACGCTATGAACCACATCGAACTCACATACGGGATTCAAGGGTGCGTTTCCAGAATCTTCCCTCGACGAGGTGTATATAGTCTGACCTTCGCCATGGATATGCGTCGCCCACTCGAATTGCCTACGCCCTCCTTCCCCGACAATCTACAGGAACGCCTTGCAGACTTTATAAACCCCGCTATCACCACAGATCAAGCATCCAATATGGTTCTCAAGATTTACGGTATGACCGTCTCCACCTGCACGCGCCGTGTCGCGACAGTGTGCAAGGCGCTCGACATTCCCTACGAGCTCATCGGGGTCAACTTCGCTGTGGTCAGTATATTAGTCTATCGGTTTGAATTGACGTGTACGGTTGCTGATTCGCTACGCATTTGCGATAGGCCGAGCACAAGTCCCCTGCGTACCTTGAGAAGCAGCCCTTCGGACAGGTGCCCTACATCGACGACGACGGATTCATCCTGTTCGAGTCTCGCGCTATCTGCCGTTACCTCGCGCTGAAGTACGGCAAGGGCAAGCTGATCCCCTCCGATCTCCCTGCCCGTGAGTTGGATAATTCATAGCATTATGGGCTTCGTTAATCCTGCCTGTTCTGGTCCAGTCGCCAAGTTCGAGCAGGCGGCCTCCATCGAGACGTCCAACTTCGATGCTTTCGCGTCTGTTATAGCGGCTGAGAAGGTCTTCAAGCCGTGGGTACATTATTATCTATGGTTCTGCTCGTGCTGATTTTTGTCGCCATTAAGGATGCAGGGCTTGACGACCAACGACGCGCTTGTCACCCAGCTCGCTGCTACTCTCGAGACTAAGCTCAACGGTTACGAAGCGATCCTCAGCAAGCAGAAGTACCTCGCCGGCGACGTAAGTAGTTGTGTAGTGCTCTTGATTTCGAGCCCAGTCTCATGCTGCGGCCATTATACAGGAGCTCACTCTCGCTGACCTCTTCCATCTGCCCTACGGCTCCATGCTCGAGCCTTGCGGATTCAAGTTCCTCTCTGACACCGCCAAGCACCCCAACGTCGCCAGGTAAGTAATCAACCGCGTTTCTCGACATGACTTTGGCTGACAACGGACGAACAGGTGGTGGAGCGAGATTTCCTCCCACCCTGCTTGGCTCGCCGTCAAGGATGGTGCATAAGAATTTGAGTACATCAAATATCTTGTGCTCTGTTGGTACGACGGTTGTATTTGGTCGCGTTGAGCATGTACAATGTAAGAATGAAATAACTACGTTGCGATCTGCATCTTCTGTGAGCACGCGGAGTCCGGTACGCTGGAACGTGCAGAGCGAGTCTCTGCGGTCTCTATCGGCGAAAGCTTTCGAAGCAGGTACGATATTCCCTGGCATCGAGCCGGAGGGTGCGTGTCAGGTACGAGGTACGATTCTGGACTTATGGGCAACCGCCGATCATGACGTGAATGTTCGCACCATCACATGATACATTCTACATCACTGCGCGCCCCTCACGCTGTCTCAGATGGAATGAGTCGGACATCTGGACCTCTTGCGATACACAGCTCATCGGGCCCGGCGACCAGAGCCCTGAGCGCTCCCCTGCGGATGAAGAGCCCAAGCAGCTAATAGCCTGTGCCCAGCAAAACGCTACCCTTTGCTCTCGGTTGCCTATCCTACCCTATCTGGTGAGCAGCGGAGCCTATGGACTGCTTCTATTATTACGCAGAATACCTTCTCTGATTGGGATGTTTTTGCTGTTCAGAAGTCTTCTTCGGTGATGCGCTCAGACGAGGTCTGTGAGTGCCATCGTTTACATGAGACACCGGGCACCTTACCAACCGTTACGCTGCCTGGGCAGGGGTCAATCTCCGTCGGAGGATCCACCGATTTGATCTCGACGAGTATGTCAAGTATGCCATTATGCATGAATTCGGTCTAACGAACCTTTGACAGCGGAGACACGGAGCTAGAAACGGCTATCCTCCAATGGAAGCTGTTCCTGGGCTGGCTTCCGTCCTCGATACCCCATTCGAGCCTAGTCGTACTCAGCGAGTACGCGGAGCTCCTCCGGATTCGCTTCCAAAGTCATGGATCCGTGGATGACCTGGAAGAGAGCATAGAGCTTCATCGTCGGGTTGTGGACTATCTTCGATCTCGCGGAAAGCTACACGCGGTCGCCTTAAACAATCTCGGCGTCGCCCACGCTCTGCGGTTCTTCAACTTCACTCGCTCCGACGATATCCAGACATCCATAGCGCTACATGAAGAAGCGCTCTCGATAGCTTCGGCGCAGAGACATGACCGGGCGGAGTCTCTTGTTCACCTCGGCCATGCCCTTACGCTGCTACATCGCCTGGACACCAAAGCACCCTTGGTCAATCGCGCAATTGAACACCTGCGCGAAGCGCATAACCTCATCCCCGAATCCGATCCCCTCTTCGTCATCACCACCTTGCATCTTTCGGACGCTCTTCGTCAACTATTCTCCTACTCAGGGGGCAAACCCGACGACATCCGCGATGCCGTCCGTCTGGCCCGCAAAGCTGTCGAACTCTGTCCTGCCCGACATCGGCAAAGGCCGGAAATCCTGATCGGACTCGCGGGCAAACTCGGAGTCTTCTTCGAAGTCGAAGATAACCAGGAGCTTCGCGAGGAGGAGCGGCTCTTGTACCGACAGGCCCTCGCCGAACAGTCTCCGAGGCATCCGTTCAGATGCGTCGCGCTCGCCCAACTCGGGTATCGGCTCGCTTCGGGCCAGTACTTTGGTGATAGCACGAGCGCGGAGCTCGATGAAGCCATTCAGCTCGGTCACGAGGCTCTTTCGTTGACCACTCCGGAACATATATGGTATCATGTCATTCTGAGCACGCTCGGATACGCGTACTCCCGAAGATCCTCGCTCGCGGCCGAACATCGTTCAGACCTCGATGAGAGTATCTTGTTACAACGTCGCGGCGTCGAACATGTCCGTGCCACTGCCAGCTACCGATATATCCACCTTCACAACCTCGCGGATGCACTCGAAGTTCGTTGGCAGCGCGAAAAGAAGCCGGAGGACTTGGAGGAGGCAATTAGCCTCGCCCGCGAAGCGCTCCGCCTCTGTCCTCCAGGTCACAACGACCACCCGTACTCCGCGTACGCGCTAGGCAGGCGGCTCCTCGTTACTTCGTCGTGGACCTTCGAGGAAATCGATGAGATTGTGCGCTGTTTCGAGGCTATAAACAACACCATTTACCCACTCGGACACCCTCTGAGGTCGTGGGGGGTCGGAAACATCGCCCAGCTGGTCCACGCGCGGTACGTGCGCTCTCAAGACCCGCACGATTGGACATACGCTATGGACTGCTTCCAGCTGGCCACCGACGATCCGCACACGTCCTACGTCCGGCGTTTTGCGGCGGTGAAGCGATGGATAGCCGCCGCGGAGAAGTCGAATTCGGTCGAGATGGCGCTGATGGCGTACCAGCGCGCGGTGGACATGCTCCCCTACCACACGCACCTCGGCCTTGATCTCGCGGGGCAGCTGGAGTCCATGAAGAGGAGCTTCGCAACGATGTCATGCGAGGCGGCGGGCTGCGCGTTGGCTTCGTCTCAACCGGTGGAGGCGGTGCGGATGCTCGAGCAGAGCCGGTCGATATTCTGGGCGCAGATGCTGCAGCTGCGCACCTCGTTCGAGGGCCTGCCGCCGAACCTCGCGGAGAAGATCGTGGAGGCTGCCACAGGTTTGGAAGAGTACCACTCGCAAGCGCCGTCTGCGGACGCGTCGGGCGCGGAGCGGATCATCCAGCAGCGCGTCCTGCACAAGAAGTTCCAGGTGCTGCTGGGCCAGGTCCGGACGTACCCCGGCTTTGAGAACTTTCTCCGGCCCTACTCGTTCGAACAGCTGGCGCGGGTCACCGCGCGCGGGCCGGTCGTGCTGCTCATCTCCAGCGAACGCTATGGATCGTCTGCGATCATTATCCGAAGTCCGAGCAGCGGCGTGGAGCATGTGCCCCTTACGGGCTTCACCGCCCATGCGCGGGGCAATATGATCGCGTTGCTGGACGATACGGTTCCGCAGCATCGACCGCCTGCCCGGGATGGCAAGTCAAGGCTGGCGATCGTGAAGGTGAAGAGGCCGGTGCGAGATGAGAAGGATCTCATGGAGTCCTTATGGTCGAACGTGGTGGAGCCTGTCATTTCCCGGCTTCGTTTGCAGGTGCGTGGCTTGTTTGCGTCCACAAATGCGAAACTGACCTCGGTATGTGAACAGAAATGCGAATCATACGATGCTCGGCCCAGGGTCTGGTGGTGTTGCGCCGGTATCTTCACGTCGCTCCCGGTGCACGCTGCCGGAACGCTGAAACCGTCGCCCACGTTTTTGAGTGACTTCGCAGTCTCGTCGTACATCCCGAGCTTGTCGAGTCTGGTAATGGCGAGACAGAAATGCGCCAAAACTGAAACCGCAAAGGTGCTCATTGTCGCTGAGCCAGATGCAGCAGACCACACGCCCTTACCCGAGTCGCTGCGCGAAGTGGACATCATTCGAGCGAAGATGGCCTCAAATCCGTGTGCGTTGGGCAATCTGCGGGTTGAAGTCCGCCAGGGCAGAGCGGCCGTCCTGGAGCAGATGGACGACGCGTCTGTCATTCATCTGGCTTGTCATGGCTTGCAGGATCGCGACCAGCCGCTGTCGAGCGGCTTCGTGCTGCGGGATGAGAAGCTCACGATCTCGGACATCATGAGGCTGAAGCTGCCGTACGCGCGCTTCGCCTTCCTGGCAGCATGCGAGAGCGCCGCTGCGGATCGCGAGCAGCCGGACGAGGTGATACATCTGGCGGCGGCCATGATATTTTCGGGTGTGCCAAGCGTGGTTGGCACCTTGTGGTGAGTGCGGTGCTGCTTTTTCTCGGCGTTTAGATGGACTCATGGCGCTCATCAAAGGTCGATGGGCGACGAGGACGGGCCGACGGTGGCCGGTTACATCTACGAAGAGCTCGCGCGGAGTTATCCGAACTTCGACGACGACCGGATACCCTTCGCGCTTGATGCTGCGATCCGCAAGTTGCGAGAGGACGGTGCTCATTTTCACCGGTGGGCGACGTACATCCACATGGGCGTATGAGAACGGACTCTTGGTTGTATACCTCTCGGACAGTTCTATATCCTTGTAATCTCTGTCATACTAGGCGTTGCCCACCGAATGAGCAAAGTAACTAATCAAATTGATGAGCCGCGCGTATGCAAGTATCATAACCGCCGGAGGAGGGATCTGCAGCCTTTGGTAATCATTCCCAAGGTGTTTCGACGCGGATGCAACGCAACATGGCAAGGATGATGTCAAAGCTCGGCGCGTCGGCGATTTCCCGCGGTCGTTGCCCGCTATCATCCACCACCGCGACGAACAGCGATGGCCTCCATCCTTCGTCTCCCTCGGCACAGCGTGCTCGAGTGTACCCTGCACTGATTCTGGCCGGCCTCCGCCCTTCGTTGCACCCCGTCTCCGGGTTATGCACGATGTGCTGCATGATGATCCGCATGACGATGTCGAGTCGCCATGCCGCTCGAAGCCCGTCGAAGCCTACGCATCACCGATAGAACTGTCCGCCGCTTCACCACAGCACGCTGCCTCAGTTCGAATACCGGCCCCCGCTGCGGACCAGCACCGGTCTCGCGTAATCCCCGGACAGCGCATATATTCGGGACGCCACAAGGGGGATCGTCGTCTGTCCGACCCCCTTGCGACGCATACGCCCTTCGTTTACGTCCCGGTCTCGCCAGGATGTTCCGCAAGATTAGCTCGCTGCTGCTCGCCCTCGGGCTGACGCTCACGGTTTCTACCGGTGTCGAGGCTGCAATGGACACCAACTGGAGTTCGCCTCACCATTACCCTGGCAAGCCGAACACCACATACGGGCCCGACTGGCAGGACTGTATGCGCAGCTACATCGGTCGCCTTTCATCCAGTTGCTGATCAACCTTGCTCGCAGACTTCCTGGTCAAGGACTCGCTGCCCAACATCACCTTTCCTCTGGGCCGCTCGTATGCGGGCTCCATTTCCACCAAGACACCCGGCTTCAAGAACAACTCAGCGTTCTTCTGGGGATGGGAGAAGACGGATGGGTCGATCGTGTCCACCAACAACACCGAGTGGGTAGCATTCAATCTTCTTCTATTACGCAGCACACCGACCTCCATGTTAAAGCGAACCGTGGGGTATGTGGCTCGCGGGTGGGCCCGGTTTCTCGTCCATCGCCGCCATGCTCCTCGAGAACATGGGTCCGATTCAGGCCAACGCGACCGGTTTCTTCAAGAACCCGTACTCGTGGACCCAATTCGCCGATTGGTTCTGGGTCGACGCGCCGGTTGGTGTTGGCTACTCCACCGTCGCTCAGGGTGGCTGGGCGACGGACGAAGAGCGCGTCGCGGCAGACTTCGTACGTTGAATAGAGCGACGCATATGCGTCGTTGGGCTTTTGCTGACCATGGGCATGCACAGCTTGGCTTCGTCGACAACCTCACCAAGGTGTTCCCGGGACTGAAGACTCGTCCTTTCCATCTTGCCGGCGAGTCGTATGCCGGGAGGTTTGTCCCGTACATCATGAAGCAGTACTTCTCGATGCCTAAGGACAAGCGCCCGATTAATCTTGCCAAGATTGCGGTCAGCAACCCTGGCTTACAGTACGTGTCTCGGTATAACAGTTCGTCCTCCTCGTACTCAACCCGTACTTCAGGTCGGCGAACGAGTTCGAGTTCCTTCCCATCTCGCACGTCGTGGAGACATACCCCCAGCTCATCGGCTATGACACCGAAGTCTATGACTACGTTCGCGAGCAGTCAGTTGCTTTTCCAAAGGCTGTCCTCATAACCTGTCGCTAATCCTTCTATCGCTTCTAGGACGCACCTCTGCGGCTTCGACCTGAACTTGACCTACCCTCAGACTGGTGGCAAGTTCGACACCATTCATCCCAAGATCGGTGCCATCGGCGGTAAACTCTCCGCACGTTCCGTGCCAGAGGAGGCGCCCGCTGCGCCGTACAAGCACCGGAGCTTCGTATCTGAGCTGCGAGAACGAGCTTCTACTCGTGATGCCGAGCTTGCCGGAGCTGATGTCGAGAAGAGGGTGCCCAAAGGCTTCAACGCGACGTTGACGGGCAAGGTCAACGAGTGGTTCGGATGCGACTTGCGCGACCTGGTCCTGAGCTACGCCATCAACTACACCTACCCGTGGAACGCGAACTTTGGCGAGTTCGACTACTTGGAGCTGCCGTACAGCATCAACCCCATCACGACGTGGATCCACCCGCACCACTGGATGAACAGTGCGTGATCTGTGTTGTGCTCTCAGGGGCTTAGGGCGATACTAACTCCACTGCCTAGACAATGTCACCCGCAACGCGATTCATGCGCCACACAACGCCATCTGGAGGGTGACATTCGACTACGCTTGGGGCGGTATCCCTGGTGCTCCCGACATCAGTACGTTAACCTGTACATGGAATCGGCTCTTGCTCATCGCCTCTCCGCAGGCCCTCCTCCCATGAACTTCATGGACGACCTTGCCGCGAACGCTACCGAGAACAACGTCACCATTATCTGGTACTCTGGTAACGACGATGCACTCACTACCCATTGGTCCACCGAGAGTAAGTCATCGGTGTGACTTGACCCCCCTTGCGCATTACTGACCTTTCACGCTCGTAGTCGTCATCCAGAATACCACGTTCGGCGGCATTCAAGGTTTCACGGTCAAGCCCAACACTTCCTGGTTCGACGACGAGGGCGAGTACGCGGGCGTCGTCCGGCAAGAGCGCGGCTGGACGTATGTGCTCCTCGCTCACGCCGGGCACCAGACGCCGGTCGAGAACCCTGGCAAGACGTTCGCGTTCGTGCGCCAGTTCCTCATCGGCAACTCGACCATCGGCCTCGTCGAGACGAAGGAGGACGGGAGTGTGTACGTGCACGAGGCGACTACACCGAGCGGCGCGGCGGTCCCGACGCTCCTGCCCGACGGCGTGCTCGTCGGCCAGAAGGGCATCTACGACAAGGGCACGACGGTCACCTGGCCGAGCGCGACGATTGAGGCGTGGGATCACCATCTCAGCACCGTCCTCGAGGCGTGGGCGGCGGCGACGCCGACGAGTATCGCGGCTACGACAGAGCACCACACAACCAAGACGTCCTCGACCCACCACGCCTCGAGCACCAAGACCTCGTCGACTCACCACGCATCGAGCACCAAGGCATCCTCGACGCACGCCACGAAGACGTCCACGAAGACCTCGTCGACGCACCACACCACGACCACCTCAACCTCCGTGACGGCCTCGTCTACCAAGGCGTGATCATGCTCTCTCCGATAGACGACGACATCCACCACGTTTGCACTCCCTTAGACGCACTGCCTGCCCATCCTCACGTTCTCGCATATACCCTACATCGACACGACCCCCTTGTATCATCTGGAATAGCATAGATTTCGGAACGCTCCGCGTGCAGTCAAATGAGTGTTGAGTTCCGATCGACGCGCCCAGTACCGCCACAAGCGCGTCTCTACGTTGCCGAGCCCCTTTCCTTTGACAGTATTGCCGCCTTCCAGCTTGACGCATGTGTATGCATGTCCTAGACCCTGCTGCTGTCATCTTATAGTCCGCATCTGCGCTGACTCGTACAAAGGATATACTTGTGTTGTGGAGGCTATGGTCGACTGCATCGAGATATCATCCTCGCCCGAGCCCAGTGGCAGCCGGTCAGCCAGCACCAAGCCTAGCAGCAGCGCTGCTGCAAGGCTGCGCCGACGAGATAAGGCCTCCAATGCCAGGCCGAAGAGAAAGACTCGTGCTTCACGGCAGGAGGAAGTTATCGAGCTCACCGATTCAGACGACGATCGGCCTGTGGCGCAGAATACAAGGGCTGGCGCTCGTGTCGCGAGGGAGGCTGTAGGGGACGCCGCTGGGCCTTCCAAGCTCCATGGCGGAAAGGATAGAACAGATTTACAAGCTGGGACGTCGCAGTATGCTCATAATCTCATTGCTGCGAATTTTTCAAACGCTGATTTCATTGACAGAACTGTACCAGACGGCGATTCCTTTGACAGATTGATACAATATTTCGAGACCCCTCCGGCTCCTCCTAAATACAATGGCAAGGGCAAGAACAAAGTTACCGAGAACACGGAAGCTGTCCTCGCTGTGGCTCCGAGCTCGTCCAACACGCCAGGTGGCCCGGGCGGTGCGCCCGAGCCAACAAAACAAAGCCGCTCGCGCTCTCCTCTGCCACTCTTCTTGCCCTCGGACGAGGACGTCGCGAATCTGTCGGATTCCGTGTTTGATCAGCTCCAACTCCCTCCCGATACCCGCGCTTCCTCGCCAGTCCCCGATATCGACATGGCAGCGCCACCCCCCGACGTCCACATGCCTGCACCTCCGGCGACGAGCGATCCAACGCATGATTTCACCCGAGATATTGATACGAACCCTGGGTTACAGCAATTCATAGATCCTCTCTTTCGAGTGCACGCTCAAATCTCGTCTATCATACCCGACGTCGACCCTGCGCATGTACGCTCTCTCGTGCAGGCCTTCGCCGAGGCTCTCCCACATGCGACACCGGATCAGCTCGTAGAGCAGGTATTGCATCGACTTTTCGAGGATCCCAGCTACCCGAAGGTAGATAAGCACGGGAAAGGGAAGAGGAAGAGGGAGGAAGGAGATGTCGAGGAAAGCCTCAAACGAGGCGCTCCGAAGTCCAAGCTTGACGTGGACTATGGCAAGACTGACCGGCTTCATGAGGTTGGCGCATATTATTATGAGCTAGCTTTGGTACGTTTCCGAGATTCCATGATTGTTATCTTCTGATAAAGCTTATGCGACTATCGGGGCACAGGCGCAGCTCGTGGAAGATTTCCCTTCGATACCCTACGATCATATCTTCACCACCTTTCAAACTCGAAACAATTTCTACGCTCCGGCATTCCTACAGTTGCACGCGGAGATGCAGCAGGGTCCCCCGTTTCCATTCGAGCCGAAAGCGGTCGGCGGAGAAAATGCGGCGGATGGGAACAGCAAGGGAAAGGGCAAGGAGAGGCTGCTCACCGACGAGGCGTTTGAGCGTGAGAGGCGGTGGGTAAAGGAAAAGTTGGGGAAAGACTCGACGACAGCGGTCATGGACAGGGTAGTAGACAGGGACACCGCGGAGGTTCTCCAGACTGATGAAGCGACCATTGAATGTCAATGTTGCTTCACGGACTACCCATTCGTACGTCCACGGACTTGGCGCTCGCGCGGATATGCGTTGATCCTTCTCTCCTGGCCAGACGCAAATGATACAATGTCCCGATGCGCACCTGTTTTGCAAGGAATGTATGACGACGTATTCCTCGACTCTTCTCGGCGCGCACGACTGCAATATCGTGTGCATGGAACAAGGCGGCTGCAAACTGGCGTTCACAGAATCCGAGCTGAGGCGATTCGTAAGTCGCCTATATACTCTAACATTGTGTGCTTACTCACGACTGGATCTTACCGCAGCTGACGCCGAAGTTGTTGGAGTTGTACGAGCGTGTGAGGCAGCGCAAGGAGATCGAGGCCGCCGGGCTCGACAACCTCGAAGAGTGCCCGTTCTGCGAGTACAAGGTGGTCATCGACAACCCAGAGGAGAAGCTGTTCCGATGCGAGCGGGAGGAGTGCGGCGCGGTCAGTTGCCGCGGATGCAAGAAGCTCGTGAGTCCTTTCGCATTGGAAAACGGGTTTCAGAAGGCTCACCAGGAAAATGGCTAGGATCACTTGCCGAAGAGTTGCAAGGAGGTCGAGGAGGACAAGAAGCTCGACGCGCAACATCATGTGGAGGAGGCCATGAGTGCGTTCCCATCATCCGTCCCATTGCGTCAACCTGATGAAGCCCGCTATAGCCAAGGCGCTCATGCGAAACTGCCCGAAGTGTACGAAACCCTTTATCAAGGAGGGCGGGGTAAGGCTCCCTCTGTTGCGTATACGGCCGGGGTGGCGCTGATACTCGGATCTGTGGCTCATCATAGTGCAACAAGATGTCTTGTCCAAACTGCCGCACGTTATCCTGCTACATATGCAGACAAATCATCAATGGATATGACCATTTCCATGAGGTGGGTTTTGCGATAGTTGACCCCGTTCTTGATCCTTGCCATTATATTGGGCTTTCGACGAGAACCTCCTTGCCTGTTCGCCTAGCGAGAGCTCGATCTTACACCATCATTCTATCTTCTCGCCCTCTTGCTGCACTGCATAGTTCTCTCCATCCGCTCATGTGTTTAGTGTACTTACGCTTATTCTTCGCATCAGCGAGGCAATACCAAGGGCCAATGCACTTTGTGGGACCCCAACCAAAACGTCGAACTCAGGCATAACCAGGAGGTGTGTGTTTATCTTTTGTTGGAATCCATATAGCGGGAGCCAACAATCACATACAAGGTTACGCAAGCGGCGAAGAAGGCGCTTGAGGATTATAAACGCGCCAATCCGGAGACAGATACCGCTGCTATCAAGGTGGACATGCCTCCTGCTCCAGCTGCCGGTACCTCCGCCCCTGTACCCGGTCGCCCCGCATATCCTCACGGGATGGTTGGGATTATGGCTGGGATGCCGCCGCACCATCAAATGCAAGCACATTTGGCGTATGACCAATTCCTGGCAGCCCGACCCCATGCAGGGCATGCAGAGGCAGTGCAAAGGCAGAGAGAGGTACATCAAATCGCAATGCAGGCGCGCGTGCAGCAAGTGCAGCAAGTGCAGCAGATGCGAGCGCAACTGCGAGCCGGGCGAGAACAGGCCTTGAGGGCCGAAGAGGAACACGCGAGGAGACTGCATGAACAGGCGCTGCTCCTGCAATTACACGCTGCTCAGGCAGTCCGGCCCGCCCCACACGCCCAACGAGCTCCCGCGGTTCATGGTGGAGCACATGTGGATGCTGGACAAGAGACATTTCGGGCAGCCATGCGCGCGGGATTACCCGTCGGCGGTGCTGGACCTCACGCTGTGCCTGCGGGCGCTCACGGGGTGCGGATGTACGACGGACCTTTCCTTCGGGGCCAAGTTGCGCCTCGGCCAGCGATGGCTCCGTTACCGGTCCCGGCTCGTATGCCAGGGATGTATGGTCCAGAGCCTGCGCGCGTTCCAGGACCCTTTGGTGTCCAACATAATCAGGTGCCGTACGGCCCGTACAATTCCAGTATTACGATCCGCATGTAAGATTATTAGCGTAATACCACCGCCTTGACACGCGTTTGTGAGGAGGGATGAGCTGCAAATACCCCATCCAGATAGCCTAACGTCGATCACATCCCATTAACAGTTCCGCCGTGTTGTTAGT